GTATCAATAAAATGACAAATCTGTAGCAATGGCAAAAAATGAGAAAAGGCACAGATTAACAATATCAGAAACTAAACAGGCTATCACAGCAGATACTGCAGCCATCAGAAAGATTATAAGGGAGCACTGTGAACAACTCTATATTCATGTATTTGAACATTTAGATGAAATGTACCAATTCCTCAATAAAACACAAACTGCCACAACTTATCCTATATGAAAGAAATAACTTTAATATCCCACAACTATTGAAAAATTGAACTGAAAACTTAAAGTATCAAAAAAAAATCTCCAGATTCAGATGCTTTACTTAGAGGATTTTACCAAATGTTTAAGAAAGAACACCAATAGGGCTCTCCCTGGTGGCACAATGGATTAAAGCACAGCACTATGAAACTAGCCACAGTTACTTCATGAGTTCAATCCCAGCCAGGGAGCTGACCCACATGGCACAGCAGACCTCTCCTGACCCGCCCACTACTCCCCTCAGCAGTGTGTTTCCATACATCTGCTTGTTCTGTTTCCCACTCTGTCTCTGGTGAATCCTCTCACCCTCCACACCTCTGGCCTATACCCCAGTTCTGTATGCATAAATAAATAAATATTTTTTAAAAAAGAATTAACACCAATAATACACAATTTCTTCCAGAAAAATGAACAGGAGGAGACACTTACAACTTATTTTATAAGACAAATATCACTTACTAAAACCAGGTAAAGAAAGTAAGAAAAAGAAATAAAATTACAAACCAGTGTCCCTCATGAATTGAGACACAAAAATCTCTAACAAAATAATAAACAGAACTCAGCAATATGAATTTATACACAACTACTAAGTAAGACTTATCTGTGGAAGCAAAACTAGAACAATATTTGGGGTTGCATCAATGTAATTCACCATATTAACAAGCTAAAAAAAATCTATTATATCAATTGAATTCAGTGAAAGCATTTGATAAAATTCAATAATCACTCATGATAAAAACTCTCACAAAAATGGAAATAGGAGGAAATGTCCTCAAACCAATACAGCCAACATTATACCTAATGATGAAAGACTGAATGCACCCCCCTAAGATAAGGATGTTTGCCCCCACCACTGTTGGCATCATTCTGGAAGTTCAAGCTACTGTGGAAAAGGGAATTGAAGATATACAGACTGAAAAGAAAAGGAATAAAACAACTTCGTTTTAATAGATGACAAAATTGTCTACATAGAAAAGTTCAAGGACTTTATTTTAAAAACTTAACTTGTCGGGCTCTCCCTGGTGGTGCCATGGTCTAAAGCTCCACACTACAAAGTTCTCAGAGCCACTGCAGCACAAGTTCCATCCCCAGCCAGGGAGGTGACCCACATGGTGTGGCAGACCTTTCCTGACCTGCTGCTGCTCCCCTCAGCAGTGTGTTTCAGTACATCTGCCTGTTCTGCTCCCCACTTTGTCTCTGGTGAATCCTCTCACCCACCACACCTTTGGCCTGTACCCCAGTTCTGTAAGCATAAAAAAATAAATCTTTAAAAAAAAAGAAAACTGAACTTGTCTCTAATAACTGAGTTTGACAAGGTCCCTGGACACAAGATAAACATACAAAAATAAGTTATAAGAATATAGTTATGTGAATATGTTATATGAATATACACACCAAAAGTACAATACCATTTATCATTCTACCTTTCCCCAATTAAATATTTAGGAGTAAATCTAACAAAACATATGTAGGATTTATATACTGAAAACTATACAAACCAAAGAAGATGTAAATAAATGGACACACCATGCTGATGGACTGGAAGGCACACAGTTATGGTGTCAATTCTCCACAAATTAACCTATAGGTTTACTGCAACTCTTATCAAAATTATAGCAATTTATTCTATAAACAGAAATATTATTCTAAAATTTGTATGGAGAGAAAAGGAACAAGAGTAGCTTAAATTTGCAAAGAAAGGTTAAGACTAATTAGTCTAACCAATTATAAATATTCAGTTTGCCACAGAAATCAAGATTATGTGTTGCTGGCAGACACAAACAGATCAAAGGAACAGAATAGAGAATCTAGAAACTCATCCACATATATATGTTCAACTGATTTTTGACAAAAGTAGACAAACAATGCAATGGAAGAAAGGTAGCTAATGGCCAATTGGACACCCATAAACAAAAAGCTAACCTTGATCTAAGTTACACACTTCACTCAGAAATTATCTCAAAATGTATTATGGACTTAAATATAAGACACCAAATTATAAACTATTAGAAAGAAGTATGATAGAAAATCTTTGGGATCTTCATTGGGCAAAGAGTTCTTAAGCTTGATAACCAAAACATGCACAGAAAGAAGGACAGATAAACTGGATTTCACCAAAATTAAAGATATTTCCTCTTCAAAAGACTCTAAGAGGAAGATGAAAAGATAAGCTACAGACTGTGAGATGAGATTTACCATCCACGTAGCCAATATTTTAGTAGTGAGACTCTATAAGGACCATTTCAAAACTCACCTGTAAAGAAGTAAACAATCCAATGAAAAGGTAAGCAACACACATGAACAGAATGCTTCACTGAAAATGTCCACGTGGCAAATCAGCACACAAAGAGATGCCCAACATCATCAGCCACTCGGAAATGCAAATCAAGACTGCATGGTGTGTCAGTACTCATGGATCAGAGTGGCAAAAATAAAAAATGGTGACAACACCCAATGCTGGTGAGGATGTGGAGAGTTGCAATCACTCAGATCTCACTGATGGGAATGGTCCGCCCCTAGAAAATGTCTTGGCAGTTTCTTCAACTACACATGCACCTGCCATTCAACACAGCAGCTGCACTTCTAGGCATTTATCCCAGGGAAATGTTTATGGCATTTGAAATTATAAGCATCAAAATGCAGGAAAAAATCCAATTGTTTTTCAGCAGTAAATGATCCATAAATATGGTACATCCATATCAGGGAAAACTACTCAACAACAGCACAAAATGAACTACTAACCTGAACACACCTGAGAGAGAGTTACGTTAAGTGACAAAAAAAAAATGCAAAAAGATGCCTACTATATGATTCTATTTATATAGCACTTGTGAAATCACCAGATAAGAGAGATGGAGAACAGGTTAGTCGTTGGTGGGGTTTAAGAAGGGGTGAGGTTGAGTTGAAACAGATGTGACTTTAGGAAGGTGACATGAGGGAATCTGGTGCGATGGAAATGTTCTTAGCTGGACTGTTTTGTGCCAATGTCAAAACAGTGTTCACGATGTCACACTATAGTATGGCAAGATGTTACTGTGGGAAACTGGGTAAGTCATGGTAAACAGCACATGGGACCTTTGTAATACTTATAACTCTGTGTGAATCTGTAATTACCTCAAAATACTGTTACCTCTAAACAAAAAGTTTAACTGACAAAATCACTAGCTGAAAAAAATCTCAGGCTATAAAAGGCTTGTGCTTATTACAAGTACTGTGTTAAAAAAAAAAAAGAAAGAATCGGATATCAGTATCTCAACTTTAAGATTAATTTCAGGGACCATTACTGAGTCAGATTTTGGTTATGAATTATAGGAATTTCCAGGAGAAAAAATATTGACGATATAGACACATCTACCTGAAATCAATCTCAGCTCTTAAAATTTTTTAGTTTAAACAACAAAGTTTTAGTTTTAAGAAGGTATAAAGTTCCAAAAGAAATGCATTCCTTTAGCACAGACTTTAAGAGATGAGCTGGACTTTTCTGGGATGTGGGGACTTTGGGGGGGGTGGGGGTGGGGAATGGCACTTTTGATGAAAGTGCTTACATCAGAGAGCAGCTTATTCTGGTCTCAACTGCAATCAAGGGGAGACCAGTAGAGACAGAGGCTGTGAAGGGTTCTGCACAGAGGGAGAGGGGCTGGGGCCCAGGACAGGGGCACCATGACCTGGCTCTTCAGCCATGCCTCCTCCTACTGCATACAAATCCTCATTGTGTCTCCTCTACCCAACTTCAGGCACATCACATGACCTCTCTGCCACAATTTCCTCCCCCTCAAAACAGAGATACTATTTTTTACCACCCATCAAACAGGATTAGTTGCAAGGATAAATAACTGAACAGAATGGAAATAGTTGAAAGAAATGGTATCTGTAAATGTGGTTCATTTGAAACATTCAACTTAAGCCTATTTTACTGGAGAAAACATACAAAATGGAAGATAATGATTTTGAAGGAGACTGGAGAAAGATTTAAACAAAGTCAAAATCCCTGTCTCTCTCTTTAGTCGCCTTGAGGCTATCAGTAGAAAATTATTGCTAAAGACATGTGGTACCCTGATCCAGGATTAAAGCCATCTTAACAGGATGGATTTTCTACAGCAGACTTGAAAAGTTTGAAAAAGTTAAACTATAAACAACTAAGATCTTACAAAAGTATGAGTTCAGTAGGGGCCTAGGAAATGGCCATTATCACAACACTGAAAAAATGAAAGCACAGAATTAAGCAGTAACACTCTTAAATCTCATTTTACCAGAAGTGTGGCACTAATTTCAATTTGGCTGGTATTTTAGGTACTCATTCAAGTCTGTTTGCCTTCACTTGAATCTAAGTTCTTTGATAGCAAAAATCACGATTCACATTCATCTATGTCCCATAATCCATAACTTTGCATGTAATTGGCACTCTGCAAACACTGAATCAACAAATGTGCACATGTAAAATCCATTAACCCCAGTTTAAAGAAATACATTCAAGGTGTTCCAAAATAGAGGTTGACCTTAGTCCTGCAACTTATTGAACAAAGTTTTCATCAATTTCTCAATGTAAACTATGATAAATTAGGTGAATGGAAATTTTTACTGGTAATCTGAAAAACAGTTTTCAGAAAGACCAGGAAGCCCTGAATCTAGAACATCACCAGGCAAGAGAATAAGAAACTTCTGTGATGATTTAGATCAGAATGACTGGCTGCTTCTTGTCAATCATTAGCCACTGGATTAAAAAAAAAAAAATCAGTTTTATAGTCTTTACTTACCAGTGTCCAGTCTTGACTTGACATGTTGATACCGGGGGTTTTGTGGTATCCTCCTGGTCAGATACTAGGGGGAAAATCATAATTTATTGGTTTAATGTAATATGGAAGAAGGGCCAAAGAAAGAGCTGGATACTTTGGGAAAAAACAAACAAACAAACAAACAAAAACAAGTACTAAAATCTCATTGAATTAAAGATGGAAGATCCACTGTCCCTTCAATAGAATATTCTTCTCTGCCGCATCTCCACAGGTGAAGATGGTTACCTTGTTTCTGTCAAAACACTTCCATATTTTGTCAAAATAATCTCACAGCATCATGTAATTAGGAAAACAGCCCTTAAAAATAATTTCTGACATTGAACCAAAACTGGTCTCCCTCTTAAATTCCACCCAGGCCAACTCTTGCAACTGAGAATAAACCACTCCCCTTGGCCTCCAGAAATCCTTTAAAATAACAAAAGGCCACATTCTGTCCTTCTTTTTAATTTTATTCTTTATATGATGGTTTCTAGCTATCTCCTCTGGACACCTTCTAGATTTTATCTACCTCTCCCCTAAAAAGTGGCACCCAGGCCCTCCCTGGTGGCGCAGCGGGTTAAAGCACTGCACTGAGAATCTAAAGCCGCTTCCGCATGAGTTCGATTCCCGCCTGCCCCGGAGGTGACCACATGGCGTGGCAGACCTCTCCTGACCCGCCCGCTGCTCCCCTCAGCAGTGTACTTCGTTGATCTGCCTGTTCTGTTCCCCACTCTGTCTCTGGTGAAGCCTCTCACCGCCCCTGAGCCTCTGGCCTGTACCCCAGTTCTGTATGCACAAATAAATAAATCTTTGAAAAAAAAAAAAAAAAGTGGCACCCAGACGTAGGCCCGGCTCAGATGCTGCCATGTCCACACCCCGTCTGGCACTGGTTCCCTCTGCTGGCTTGGAATCTAAGGTTCCACAGACTACAGTGGCATCTGTTCTGGGGCGGCTGGAGCACATCAGAGTAAGTTTAGGATCAGAAAACAAACAAACAAAAAAAACTATCAAGCCTCCCTTGTCTTGTTCTCTGGTACTGAACTCTGAACCCAAGCACAAGACTTACCCAAGTAAGTTTCAATGGCATTTGGCAAGTCATTAAGTGAGGACCATCTAGTAAATACAGACATTACAGAAATTAGCTTTCTAACTTTATTCTTTTTTTCCTGACTGTAAGTATGAAAAATGAGATGCTTGATAACAGGTAGCTGTGGAATGTGAGGTTAAAAGCAGGGAGGAATACCTTTCCAGGCTCCTCTTCTACCACTCTCCCACGTATTTCCATGTTGAATTTGCCCAGATGGTGCCCAAATGTCTACCTCATCCAAGTCTCCTATCTTAGCGAATGTCTCCCTAGAATTCCTTTCCCCAGCAGGTCCCTGGGCAAATCATCACTTCCTCTGTATAAGCTGTCTCTGGCAGGACCAGGAACATTCTTCGTCCTGGCTCCCAGCATATCACACCCTGTACCACTGTTTACACCTTGAGCTTCTTCCCTAGTCTGTGACTTTCTTGAAAGGTTGGGACAGTAACTTACTCAAATCTGTATTCACCCAGGCCCTTAGTATGTAGTAGGTCCATATATTGATGTCCAATCAATACATGAACACTTAGAATGAGGACTATATTACAATAACTACCTTCTTCCTTAAAAGAGAACCAACTCCCCCAAATCTACATCACTTGCACCTGAAAACCTCATAGGATGTGTCCCATTGAGGGGACTGAAAAAGAAATATTTTATATAAAAATACTTTTCAAATGACCCCAAAAGCATAAGGCAGTATAGACAACTGTGACGCTGTGCTTGCTGCTGGTCAGTTTGGGACCAGGAAGAAATTTTTAGAAGTGGGGAGCGCCTAAAAAAAACTGAAAAAGCAAATAACAAAGAAGGAAGACATGAGCCCAGTCAGTCTAGACCACCACCAGGCAAACAGCAAAAGAAGGCGCATATCAGAACGTGGTTATCTCGAGCTGAGAGCTTTTCTTCTTCTTCTTCTTCTTTTTTTTTTTTTGCACATTGTATTTTTCTAATTTCTATACGCTAGTTCTTGTTTTTACATTTGTTTTGTTTTTCCCACTAGTTTCCTAGCAAACACTTCTTTTGAAAAACTCCAGGCAACTCTCTGCTGAACCGAGGGGATTTGTCCATACCTAAGCCAACATAGTTGAGAAGTGAGGGTGTCTCTGGGGACCAGGTGTGGTGGCAGCAGAGTGATGGGGGGAGAGTGTGGACAGCTGCAGCCGAGGGGCCCTTTTCCCACCCTCAGTTTTCCCTTACATCGACTAATGAGAAATCCATATGGCACAGCAGAAAAATGTGCTGTTTCTTTTCCACTCTGGTCCAGCCTCTAGCTCCTGTCTTTCTAGTATCCACAACTGTGTAAGACTATGTGCGCTCGCCACTTTGTCCCAGGCACCACGATGTTGGGAACGGCTGTGCTCTTTCCCTTCAAGTTCTTGCTTGGGGGTGACTACTGTTTCTTGACCTACTGACCAACTGGCTTTCTTCTTTTCTCTCTCTCAATTACATAAACAGGATGGAATGGTGGAAAGTGAAAGAGCTGAGAAAAGAAGCGGTTTCAAGGAGGACTATTCATTCATCCAACAAAGCCTTATTGAGGCCTGACCATTCATTCAGCCGCCACTTCTGGGTGCCGACCAGGAGCAAGCCACCGTGCTGAGGATGCAGGGGTAAAAACAACACCGTGCCTGCCACCCAGCTCTCGTGATGCTTGGAAGAAAGACAAGGAAAAGACAGATGCTGCCTGCACCATGAGCAGGGAACGGGGGAGACGGGCAGAGGAGTCAAGAGCTATTTTCTGGAGTGGCTTCTGAGCTGGATTGATAGGGCCATGGAAGTTAGTTGAGCCAAGGAGAGGGTGGGGGGTACAGGGTTCCCAATAAATGGCAACTCTACAGTGTAGGAGGGGGGCAACTTAGGGTTAAATGGGGCTGAAAAGGCAAGAAGGGGTATCTCAAAAAAGGTGTCCATGCTAGGAAACCTGTATTATATCCTGCCCATCACTGGCTCCCAAACAGAGGTGATTTTTGCTCCCTCATCTCTGGGGAAAATCGTTAGTATACAAAAACATTTCAGGTTGCCAGAAGTGGGTGGTGGTGCTAATGGTATTCAGTGAGTAGAGGCCAGGGATGCTATTCAACATTCCACAAGCCAGGAAAGTCTTCCTCCTCCCCAACAATTAGCTGGCCCCAAATGTCAATAATGCTGAACTTGAGAGACCCACGTGTAGATGATAGGGAGTCACTGGACACACTGGAGGAGGAGTGATGGTATTAGATTTCTGTTTTGGAAAGATTATTCTGGCAGCCCTATGAGAGGATCGTATCCAGGAATCAGGCGCCAAGATCAGGGAGGAGGCTGCTGTGTGATGAGGATCTGTTATCCTAAGGAAGTGGCAGTAGAGATGAGGAAGATAATTTCAAGGAATCTTTTAGGTATAAAGTATAAAACCTATGATTCATCTAGCATAATGGGATACACTATTCCCCGGGAAAGGGATGTGAGGAGGAAGCAATTATTGAGAAATACAAAGTTTTCAGATTGAGGCATACTGAGTAGGAGGGGTCTGTGGGTTGCCCCCTCCTACTCTGGCTATTAGGGTCTGGCTATTAGGGTCTGGGGCTCACTGGAGGTATCTGAGTTAGAAAAGAAGACACTTAGGAGCGGCCAGTATAGAGGCGGCGGGGGAAGCCAGGGAACGGACAAAATCACCCCTGGAGAATATGTAAACTCAGGAAAAAATCCTCAATATTTAAACTCGGATGGAAAAAAAGCACCGTGGATGAGACTCATAAGAGGCCAGAAGAAAATGGGTTGAGAAAATTAGAAATTCTGGGAGGAGGTGATGGCCATGGCCAGCGGCAGTCATGCTGCAAATGAGAGAACAAGGGGTCAGGTGTGACATAAGCAAACACTGCTGGTTAACTAAGAGAACACCAGAAAAGTGAATTTGGGCTGTGCAAACCAAGACAGCGGTGATGACCCTGGGGGAGAGCATGACAGGAACTGACAGGAACAGAAGCAAAACAGCAGGCTGTGAGAGGAGAGGAAGGAAAGAGGAAGCCAGCAGAGAGGTGGTCTTTTGTTTTTCCCCTTAACAGTTACAATCTTACATTTCCGGTGGGTCTTTCAAAGGGAACAATTCTTTATAGAGGATTTTAATCTGGTCTAGTTGTACTGATCTGAAGTGCCCATTCTACCCACCTGTAGCTGCCTCCATTCACCAGCAGCTACATGGATGGTGTTGACTGTTTTTCAAGATGGCTACCACAGGAGAGGTATGTTTGCTGTTGATACTCCTCCTACTAAAGGGTGGGACTTTGAATCCAGATGGATCTGTGGCTTCTGAGGCTAGATCATAAAAGGCAAACTAGGATTTCCACCTGGTTCTCTCAGTATACTTGTTTTTGGAACACAGCCAGCATGCTTGAAGAAGGCCAAGTCCCATAAAAAAAGCCATTTGTAAGTGGTATGGCTGACAATGACAGTTGAAGTCCCAGAGGATAGACACATCAACAGCCAAACGTGACTGAAGAAAACTTCAAGGTAAGACTAGCTACACCTTCAGACTGCCTGAGAAACCCCATGAAAATCCCAAGAAAGAGCCACCTGGCCGAGCCCAGTCAATCTCCAGAGCACGAGAGTGTTATTTTAAGCCACTAAATGTGGGGGTGAGTCTATACAAACTAATACAGAACTGGGAGTCCACCCAGGCTTTTTTCTTTCTAGCTAGGTTCCTTGGAAAAATAAAAAATGGCCCTGGTGACCTGCACCTCATTCTCCAATCCACTGTAGTGTGGTTACTATCTCCACCACTGTTCGATGCTTCCTGTGGTAGAAAGCCAACACCAGGGGTTCCTCGTTGCCCAAGTTACGGGCACTTTTCAGTCTACCTGATTCAACCTTGCTGAACCATGACACGCTATGTAGCCCCACCTTGACCTCAATTTCATCTCTCTCCCCTGATTCTCCACAGAGAGTCTGTCAGCCACTTAAATACTGTGTTTCCTACCTTCTCAATCTATAAGTTCTCTGTACACTAACCAGTGAGCTTTAATTCCATTGATGAGCTTCTGATTACTGCACAGTGAACTCCAGTCTTAACTTCTCTTTCCATCTCAGACATATATTCATTTTTTTATTCAACAAATATTTAAAGCATACCTACTGTGTGCCAGGCACTGTTGCAATGTAAACAAGTTCTATATCTTACTTTCCTGTTAGTATGTCAGAGATAAAGAAGCAAATAAAATAATTAGTAGAGCATGATCTACTGGGGAAAGACAGCATATTGAAAGAATACATGTAATTTGATTTCACTCCTTTCTAAAACCTCAATTAAACATCACTGAAAGTATATTATTTTAAGGACATGGAGCTAAAAAGAAAAAACTGAGAGGGGGAAGTGATAGCAATAAATTTTGAAACCTAGAGAGCAGATCAATAAGTAAAGATGGCTTGATGGACTAAAGAAAGTTGAAGTTTGGAAAGCAAGAACAATTAAAAGCCCAAAGCATCTCCAGAAGTGGAGAGTCAAAAGGGACTGAAATAAGGATCAGTCAAAGGCTGTCTGAATAGCTGGATCTCCAAATCCCTTTCCTGTCCTGTTGCGGAATGCCCCTGATGCCCCCTCCCCTCCCCGACCCCAACATGGCAGGTACAGATTTACTCCCCGAAAGAGGTTTCTGGACTGGAGGTCTCCAGACACAGGGAATGACAAAGATATAATTACTGATAAATAGGGATATTTAGCAGAAAAATGTATACTAATATTGAGACTTAACCCCCCAGACCTAAGTTCTCCAAGAACTCAAGTAGTCTTTTTACTCTCAGGAAACTGGAGTTCTCTGGGAAAAAATAACTAGCTTGAGAGAAAAGATGTACATTTAGGAGGGAAAGTTCCTGAATCCTGGCCCAGTGAAGCCAGCCTTTAATTGAGCTCACCATCAACAAGCTCCTCCCAAATACCCAAATACCTTTTTTCTAAACAACAAAAGTTTAAAATAAGTCTGAGAACATAAAATAAGTCTGAAATTGTAACATCCAAAATTCGTACATTGAAGTTGTAATTCCCAAGTAACTTTACTTGCAGGTGGAACTTTTAGGAGGTAGTTAAGGTTAAATGAAATAAAGTCATAATCCCATAGGATTAGTGTTCTCATAAAAAGAGATTATTAGAGCTCACTCCCTGTCCACATCTGCATCCTTTCCACAGGACTTATCATATGGTTAGGGGGACAGGGTGTCCTGAGCAAACTTTACAGATACAGGTTTTGTGGACTCCACCCCAACTCCAGACACTGAAACTAAGAATCCCAGGAACACCAAAGTGAGGAATGCTAGGACCTGAGGATGGAGTTAAACAACTATTTGGGTTTGGGATATAAAAACCAGCTATGTTGGGCTGAGGGCTCTCTGCCTTGCGGCTGGTAGCTTGTCACTTGGGTCTCCATCAGTTTTCAGCATGCTGTTGGGGTTCCAGGTCAGTGGAACTGGTAGGGCGCTTGATTAACTTATCTCTCTTTCTCTTTTCCTGAGTTGTTCCTTTCTTCCCCCACCCACCTTGTAAATAAACTCATTATTGACCTTTTGCGTGTGTCTGCAGTTGAACCTTAAGCGCACGGGTGAGGACCACAGGGAGGAACCCAATTCATATTGGGCTACCCTGTGACAGTATGAGTACACAGCAAAAAGAGTCTTCTGCAAGCCAGGAGAGTGCTCTCAACAGAAACCAAATCAGTCAGCATCTTAATCTTGAACTTCCCAGTCTCCAAAACTACAAGAAATAAATTTTTGTTCTTTAAGCCACCAAATGTAGTGTGTGTTATGGCAGCTTAAGCTTCCTAATGTAAACATCTCCAAGAAAACAGTAATATGGAGGAAACTGGAGACTACATGGGGAAAAGTACTTTAAACACTGTTATTTGTAGAAATGAAAACATGTACCTTTATACAGGAACATCTGTACAGGAATATTCATCTTTGCAAGAGACTAGTATCTTGTCTTGTTTTTCTTGCAAAGAGGACAAGATATAGAAAACAGAAGATAAATTTTAAGAAAATCAAACAGTATAAAAGCAACATCAGAATAATGAATTCAAGGAAGAGAGGATGGAGGTGATGAGACAGAGAAAGTCAACAACAAAATAATTCAAGAAAATTCTACAGATAGAAAGACCTGTTTGTGGAAACAATGAACACAGACCCAAAGTAAGGAATATGTTTGTAAAATGTTCTAACACTAGGGACAAAAATAAGGTTCCATGAGTTTCCAGAAAGGAATATAATCAAGTCACATACAAAGAAACATGACTTTGGATTCCACAGCAACACTAGACGCTAGAAGACCATAATCATGGCATTTAAATATGCTGATGATTTCCAGAATTCTACACTCAAACTCTTAGGCAAGTGGGAAGGCAGACTACCATTTTAGGCATAAAATTTTAAATCATAATTATTTCTCATCCACTCTTTCTCAAGAAACTCCAGTATGGGCCTCCCTGGTGGCACAAGGGGTTAAAGCACACCACAATGCAAAATGGTGCAGTTGATCCCTGGCTAGGTTGCTGACCCACATGGCACAGCAGACCTCTCGTCTCACCCCCTGCTCCCCTCAGCAGTGTTTTTGTAGATCTGCCTGTTCTGCCCCCCACCCCTACTCTGTCTCTGGTGAATCCTTCACCACCCCCTCTGCCTCTGGCACCAATTCATGTATGCATAAATAAAATCTTTTTTTTTTTTTTTTTAAAAAGAAACTCCAGGAAATTATTTCATCAAAACAAGTGAAAAATCTTCATCTAGGACAAAAACAAGGCATCCTCTACACTCCTATTTAAGATCCCCCTTCCTTCTCTTTCTACCATTCATTACCTCCCTAATGGCATCAGCACAATAAACTATCCCAAACCAGGAATGTAAGTTCTCCATCACACTCTCACTTTCTCAAAGCTAATCACAAAGTTGTAATGATTTTATTAAATATTTGTCAGTTTGGTTCCTGATTCCACTTAGTTTAGATCTGAGTCAAAATAACCATCTAACCAATTTCCCTATCTCCAGTCCTGGCCTCCTGAAAGCCCTCATCCCCCATGGCTAAAGCCATCTGCTTAAAATGCAAACCTGACCAAGTCACTCCCTTAAAATTCCTCAAAAGCTTTTCAAATTCTAACCAGCAGGCAAGATAAACACGTGGCTGTCCAACTGCACTCTCCACATCTGCCTCCTCCAGCACGGATCTAAAGACAGCCTCACCACTTTCTCAAGGTAGTTCTCAAGGAGATGAAACAGTTTGCAAGGCCTTTTCGGTAGGAAGGCCCTTCCAGGTTCTCTAAAAGGAACTGTCCACTACGGAGTGCCCACCTCCGTACCTGTGGTCTTATTTCCTTTCACTGGGATGCCCCTTTACTTAGCTAACTTCATGCCATTTCAGACCACTCCCAGGACCCTTCTCTCCCTCAGTCCAGTCCTAACTTTCTGCTGTGCTCTAACATTTGTCCCCCTACATTATCCTCAAATTCTGCTGACCAGTCCCCCTCGTTAGGTTGAATTTATCAAGAGGGGGCCTCATCTCAGTCTCTTTGTATGTCTAACCCCCACGGCTGGGTAGGAAGGCCAGTGAACATTTGCTGACACTAAATGACCACAAACGCTACTGGGCACTGGGGTGAAACAGACAAATAAATAAAAAGTCCCGTAGGGAGTGGGTACCCGTAGTGTCCTATCTTGTGTCCTTTCCAGATGTCTTGGCCTGCATAGTCCTGCTCTTTCTGGAGCCCCCAAACCGAAATGATGGTTCCTTTTGATTTTGTTAGCTTCAGGGTTGGGGCTTCACGCGTAGTTTGCTTATGCTTTGTGACTGCCACTCCTAGACGGTGAGCCCTTTGAGGGGAGGGACAGTGTCTGTATGCACTTTGCGCTTCTCAGCGACAAGGCCCAGCGCACAGCGAGCACTGCGGGCTGGAGGCCTAGGAGCGGGGGGAGGCCCAGGCTCCGCGATCCCGGGCGCCCGCCTCCCTCCCTTCGGCCGACCCCTCCTCACGCCGCACTTCCCGCCTTCCGGGCGGCGGAAGTGGCTAGCGCTCTTCCCTCCCACGTGGAGCCTTTTCCGGTGTTCCCGCCCCCTCCGGCTCTCCGGCCCGGACCTGGCCCTCACCTCAGGATTCCCAATGTGCCTCCGGACAGACATATTTGCTCCAACCGACCACGCTCGGGGTTCTAGCCTCACCGGTAGGCTCTAACCCTAGCTTCCTACCCCCACAACCTCGCTCGGCCGCCTCCCTGCAACCTCCTCTCCGATTGGCTCGCCTGTCCCAGCCAGCCAATGGAGGCCCCCTTTACTGTCTCGTGGCGGGGTCACGGGAGAGCGAGACTGAGCTCAATGGTTGCCAAGGGCAACGCGGGACGCCGGCGGCGGAAGCCTTTTGTGCCCCGGACCCCGCCAGGTCCCGTCCTAGCGCGGGAAGAGGGGCGCGGGGGGAGGGGCGGCCGGCGCCTGCGCGGGGGCTGCAGACAGAGTTGGGGGACGAGAAGGGAAATGAGGGGGAGTAGGGGAGAGCAGCCAGTTCTCTGACTAATGTGGGAGCCCAAATACCGAACTAGGCACCCTTAGCCCATCCCCCACCCCTTTAAGAGCAATTTAACCAAACATCTGGGCTACTTCTTCCACAATGGGGAAAGATACCGGACGGGGTTGTTCAGCAGGAATGGGAATCAGTAGCTTATTATTTTCAGGTTAAGTTAATATGCAAATTGTGCAAAATAACATGCGTAAATACAGTAATTATTGTTGCTTTAAAAGCTTTTCGCTAGCTGGAAAACGACAGCCTTAATTGCAAAGCGCACACACCATTCTGTGGTTCATCATTCATTTAACAAATATTTAATAAGCACCTTATGAGAAAAGCTGCAGTAGGTTTTGTGGAGGATGGGAGAATGACTAAGACCCAGTCCCGTTGTCATGGAAACCATTGTGACTCCTGCCACCAGCCACCACCTGTTCTTATTCCAGATCTGAAAATTAAGTCCTAGCACCTTTACAAAACAATCACACACACAGTTTGACTTGGCTCCAAAATGTCCCACCAAATCCATCAAAATTATTATTTCCTTTTACATGGGAGGAACAACACAGTAACCCTTTGTCCTTTGCTCCAAGTTGTTTTTCCAGGAATGGAGAAAGGTTACTCTGAGCTGTTCCATACCCACTGGTTCCCTGCTTGTGAATAATAGCACACAGCTGAGCTACCGCGGGGTCTGTGTAGATGAACACTGAACAACGTGACCTCACTAGCCCCTAGTGTTCTCAGACACTAAGGCACCCCCACTTTAGGGCCACCCTACCTTGAATTGTGTTGTCACCAACAGCTGCTTGACCTCCAGGTTGTTAAACAACCCCAGCTGTCTCTAGCGGGTTTTTTTTTTTATGCCTGTTGTGTTTGTCTTAACTTGTCTTTTGTTCTCTAGTCCTTCAACCTCCCTAAAATTCCCAGTTTCTTATCCCTCCTCTACTATAAGAGTTGGGGCTACAAAGAATGGGGGGGGTGGTGGGCGTGGGGGTGGGAAGATACTTAATCTAGAGGCTTTTGGATAGCAACAGAAGCTTCTAGATACATTATTACATAGGCCCCTGTGCTTACCTGGTGTAGTGTTGGGGGTGGGTGATGAAGTTCTTGGTAAAATAAACAGAAGAAAGGGAAAAAAAGAGGGCGACTATAAGAGACTAAATTGAAAGACTGGGAAGGCAAGTTGAAGGAGTTTGTAGGTAATTAAGTGATACATGTACATATGCGAAAAGAGGTGCAAGGAATAGAAAGGTATTGAGGATGGTTATAAGTTTCCTAACTTAGTCCCAATATAAAAATTAGGTAAATGGCACAAAAGGCTAATTCATAGGACATTTGATAAACATAAGAAGAACTATCCAACTAATAATGCAAGAAATATAATACATCTAAATCTTGCTTGTTTTTTCAACTGACAGACACAAGCTGATTATTTTCTCTCTCTCTTTTTTTTTAATGATAATGCTACATTGGCTAATGATTCCCGAAACAAATATGAGCTTTCATTATGAATGTGATTATAAAAAAATACGAAACCATTTTGGAATGTAATCTCAGAGTGGGCGTCGAGAAGCCTTAAATTTTAATTTTCTAAAAGTTCTGCCTAAAAATATAATCAGAGGCTCAAGATGTTTACTAGAATCTTATTTATTTAAAATGATGAAAAATTGAAACAACCTAATTGATCATCTGTTTAAAAAGATTATAATAAATGATGGCCTAGTCATAAAAAACAATATTATGGAGCCATTAAGCAGTACATTTCAAGAAATAATTAAGACATTGGAGAACTGTTCCTGAAACAGTAAATGAAAAGAGCAGTAAACAAATTTTTATTTATTATAATCCTGATTTGTAGAGAAAAACACGTATCTCCACAGGAAAAAAAATATTGAAAATGTAAACCATCTCTGGGTTATGGACTGTTTTTTTTTTTTTTTTTACACATCTGTGTATTCTACAGATTTTCTCCAGTGACTATGAATTAATTTTATACTTTTAATAAAAACAGTCTACCCCTAAGAAACAAAAAGCCTGATTCTGACTTCAGTCTGTAAATTGTCGATGGCCTTTGTCTGGGCTGATTGAGAGCAGCCTTGAAGTCTGTGTAATGCCTCCGTGTGAAGTGCCCAGCTCCTACATTCTTGGCAGTAAAAGACTCTCCAGACACTTGAGCGAGATCCTTGCAATCAGAGTGGTGATTGCTAAGAGGTTCGAGCTTTGTTCGGAAGAGAAGAAGTTCTGATTCTTTTCTTTAAAAGTTCCTACTTCCACTGATTAATCTTATTTTTCACGAAGTTAGAAGTGCTCTTGTGAACTTCCATTTGTTTGATGTCTTCCTTTTAACCCTGTATGTGTTCCAAAAAGCTTTTAGTCTCTGCAGACTTGGTGGGAGCCCCCCATCTGTAATTGTGGCTGCTTTAAGGATGGTGTTGTAGGTGCCTCAGGGCTTGGGCAATCCACCCTCCCTCCCCCAACCACCCCTTCCCAGGGAACTGGACCAGCATTTAGGTGTCAAAACAGCCTAGTCCTTTTCAGCCTCCAACTTTCTCACTCTGCATCTTACAGCCCTCTTCCACCTAGCCTCACCCCTAAGCCAATTTCCTGAGTAGAGGACAGCACCCTTCCTTCACCCCTGTCTCCTGAGGTTGCATCTCAGATGTAGGCCTTGGCACCTTCCTTCATTCCTAAATGACATGCATTTCCTGATGCTCAAGGAAACAATCTGCCCAATCCAGTCCAGACCTGGAGTCCCTTCTCTGCCCTCCCAGCCACGGAATAGCACCCGAGGTCATGAACCCACAGACCCATGGGTGCCACTCTGTGATAACATTCTTGCAATCCTGCTAAAAGTGGGTGTCATTGACCTGGAGTGGAATGTGACTGAGGGAAGGACACATCGACCTCCAAGGGTCAGGCTGACCCTGGCCTTCCTCCAACTTAGGCCAGAGTTAAGGCACTTTCCTGCACAGGAAGACCTCAGCTGTCCCTGCAGCCTCACTCATGGGGTATAATACCTGCCTCCCAGGATTGCTGTGGGACCATTACAGGTGGCACTGCTTTTTGGTAATACAAGAAAATAAGCCTCATGGCTGCTTACCTGATTGACTTAATATTCCCATAGTGCAGTTCGGCCACAGGAGACTCCAGACTCTGCACAGTAGGAAGGGTGCTTAGTGTTCCCCCCACCTCCCCGGGAGATCCAAGACTACCACCATCTTTGAGCAAAGGGCATTTGTGGTCACATGACACTCTGCTTCTGGATTGAGATTTGCACAGACCATGCGCTGCCACAGACCTAAGAGGTCTTTCAGAAGCCAACCTTGTCCTGAAGCTGCTCTGCCCAAAGGGATAGAGGAGCGGTCAGTGTTGGGAAGTAACTGGGTTGACCTGGGCACACAGCACAGCGCAAGAGCCCATGTGCCCTGAATAGGCTGATAAATGTGACTCAGGTGTGTCAGATGTCCACCTTTCTCAAGAGTCAGGAGATCTAGGCTTTCATGCGAAATCTATGTTACACTAGTTACACTAGTCTAGTTTGTGCTAGACTCCACAAATATCATCCCTGTCTTTCATGGTTTTAAAATAATTAAGAACATACCCATGATAAAAATAAACGTTAGTGGGAATTATGCTTCCACTTAGGATTTAGAAAACTATAAGGAATAGCACTCCCATCCTAGCAATAAAAAAGAAGAAGAAGAAGAATCTACAAAGTCGTAAGTTTTCTTGAATCTGTCAGAGGGCTGAGAAGTTCAGGAACCCTCATAATGAAATCCTAAAAAGTGATAGGCCAAGGAGAGAAGTGACTTGCAAACTGCTTGCCCTATGGCAGAGCACTGGAGAAGGTGGCTGCCACAAAGGGCTGAGAAGTTGGCTAAGTGTTCCGCTAATTTCTAAATAAAGGATGAGTTGGGGCTTGTTGATCAGTTTAGAGTAAGTGGGGGCCGTGATGGTTAATTTTATGTGTCAGCTGAACTAGGCGCAGTATCCAAGTATTTGGTCAACTATTATTCTGGGTGTTTCTGTGAAGGCAATTTTCAAATGAGATTAATATTAAACATTAGTAGACTTCGATGAGGGGAGATTACCTCCATCAGGTGGGTGGGCCGTATCTGACTTGTTGAAGATGTTGAGAAAGAGAAAAAAAAGACTGACATCCCTTGAGGAAAAGGAGGTTCTGCCAGCAGACTGCCAATGGTATCCTAGATGCTTAATTCTTTTTTTTTTTTTTTAAAGATTTATTTATTTGTACATACAGAACTGGGGTACAGGCCAGAGGCTCGGGGTGGCGAGAGGCTTCACCAGAGACAGAGTGGGGAACAGAAAAGGCAGATCGACAAAGTACACTGCTGAGGGGAGCAGCGGGCGGGTCAGGAGAGGTCTGGCCACGCCATGTGGTCACCTCCGGGGCAGGCGGGGATCGAACTCATGTGGAAGTGGCTTTAGCTTCTCAGTGCTGTGCTTTAACCTTCTGCGCCCTAGATGCTTAATTCTTAAAAGATAGATGGTTTTTGTTCTGGTGGGGCAAAAGATTAGGACACAGCACTGCAAGCTAGCTGTGGCTGCTTTAGTGTGAATTCAATCCCCCTCCCAGGAGCTGACCCACATGGTGCCCGCTGTTCCCCTCAGCAGTGTACTTTGTTAGTCT